CTTTTCTTTTCTGATGACAAACTTCAACTCCAAAATCTTTTTTTTTCCAATCCCAAAAAAAAACGTTCCCAACAACAAAGAAAACTTGACAACCAAAAAAAAATAAATCCAACGCATACTTGTTTTCCTACAGTGTTTTTCTTCGAAACTAGTTATGTGCGTGGTCTGTCAGGAAATTTCCAATCATAAGCGTATAGTCTAAAGTATAGCATTGCCCAACCTATGGCGGTTAGCTCTTGTTGTATAGAAAACTTATCACTTTCATTCTGGGTAAATGCCCGGGATGGATAAGCCACTGGTAACACAAGCGTGTTCGCGTCTGTAGTTATACAAAACTCTCTGCTGAATTTGTGGTATTTATAATAAATAATATTGGCCATTGTATCTCGATGTGGCCTCTCAGACGGACTGATGGCGTGAAATATATTCTGATCGCACCCGTGGTGTACATATCGACTATTACGGACGAGTATGACCGCCACCCTGAAAGTTTGGACATCCTCCTCGCAGCACATGTCAGATCGGTGAGCAGTAGCGTTTTTCGAGCCCAACGTTCACTCGGCGCCTGGCTCTTATTAAGTGGTTTATCGTCGTCCTCTCCACTACAGCCTCCGAGGCACGGTTATCGTAGAAATTCTCTGAACGTAGTCCAGGCTTTGTAGGAAATCTATTATCGAAACGAATCGACGTGATAATGTCGTCGGATTTTTTTTTTTTTTTTGAACATCCTCAGTGTAATTTCATTGGCTTATTTTTAGGGTATGCTACGTTTAACATTACGACAAATTGGAATACAACACCATCTGATGCGTGAAATTTCTTTCCTGTATAGCCCTGGTAGCCCATCATCGGCGTATATATTTCCGGTCTTAGGATGTTTTGGCTATACCTGTGTTACAATCTCAACACTCTCTTGTATATGTGTTATAATGATATTCTTACGTGTATCTCATTACGAATGCTATCTTAGCTACCAATCTTATGATCGAACATGTATAAAAGCCTTTAACGATTCAATGTGCTAGCTGTCAATACACAAGCATGACAACACCCGCAAATAGAGAACATTCGAGACCATTAGGTACATGATTTTGCAAAATCACAAGAATGTGAATGTATTATTCAATGCTAAATGTAGCTTGCTGATAAATAGAAGTAAAATACGTATGTAGGTATATAGGCATGTTGCCCAGCGGATTGGAATTTGTTCATCGAGAGAATTTATGACGTGTTTCGCCATGAAAAGATAAGACATGGTTACACTTACCTATATTACTTATATGTGTATTACTTATACATATATTATTGCTAGGCATATTTTTCTGTTTCGGAG